GCGACGGCGGCGATACGGAATACAACGCCATCTCTTGAGCGTTGTATGTTTTTCACTTTTACCACGACGGCCTCTTAATTAAAAAATGTTAATTGAACACTTAAATATGTGGGCGATGAAATGAGAAAACTCCCATTTCTTTGGTTACATAAGCTTTTCTTTGCTTGTTTTTTTTTTCCAATGAGTATCCTCCCTAATCTCAAGAACAACTGCTAACTTAAATTACATGTCAATTGTCAAACCTACTTATTGTGCATACTTGTGTAGGTTGTAGATTATTTTGAGTAGTCGGGGAATACCGAATTCTTTACACAATGTTATATTATAGTTGGTCTACAGTTTGTATAAATAACGGGGTAGGGGGCAGGACGTCGTCGGTACAAGCTTAGTTAACTGGTATTCCAATTTTAAAAATTAAATATTCGGCGGACTTCTTTTCAGTTAGCTGTCGGTTCGATGGTTTTTGTTCCCAGGCGTCATCGTCAGCGGCTACGAGATCTGAGTGGCACGTTGCGTCCCGTTACGGGTACAAGTCGCCGTTTGGCGCAGGCTTCGGCGTAATCAGGATTTCGTCCAGAGAATGATTGGTTTTGTTAGCACCGTCGCCGACTGTCATATATGACGGGATTTTCGGTCGCACGATACACCCACGTTAGTTTTATCGTGGCTGTACCTATATTGACCGTCGGGGCAGTTGGTCCTGAAAAGGATCGGTTTCAAGTCGTACCGATGGTACGTGGATCGCCGTCCAGCGATGGTGTGAATCACACGTCAAGGACGTTCGCTAACATGTGAACCAAACTTAGTAATCGACACCTCAGGTTGTCGTGAGTAAAGTTGTCGGACATGTCGGCCGTGGTCACGGAATCATTGGCGGACGTTCGCTGACTGCTCATTCCGTGTTGGTTTATTACTATTTTTTGTTTGCTATCAATGCAATTGTTTACCGTAAATATTATGTTTTCTGTTATAACCAGGCCAATTTTTAGTTTGAATTGTATTATTAGMTATTATCTAAATAATTATTCGTATTATATTTTTTATAACGTATTGTTTAAATGCTCTTTGTAATTTTACCACCATGTATTATTTGATTTGTTTTTCTGCTTTTATAACGTAGGTAATTATTATTTATATTATTACTATTATTATTGTTCATACGACACCACCGTCACATCACTCTCAGTACCKTTCTTGTGTGAATAATTGTCAATCAACGAATCCACCACTTCATCGCCGGAGACATCACCATGACACCATGGTCGTGTGAGACTGCACCTCCCGTGGTGAGGATGCTTAACCCCCGCGATTTCGCACCATTCATGGCAATACCGGTTGGCACAAGTGCGTGTCGGGTGCGAACTTTACGCACACGTCTTCCCCCCACTGCCACCCAGGGCTATCCGAAATTCCGAAACAGCCGTGGCTGTTGTTCTTTTCCAGCGGTTGACCGCAATGTATACGGTGTACCCTTACGCCACCCGCGCGTTTTTTTCTTGTATCAGTGGTGTTTTTGCGTCTCGCTCCGATCACGAGGGCCGTCGTCGAGTGACCAATTTCGAGTTGGTCCTTGTCCCGATATTTCGGATATGGTCGGCCGATCCCAGTACAGTCGTTTTGCTGCACGTCGTTGCCCCGTTTGGCCGTGCGTGTGTGTGGGTTGTCGAACCACGTGTCTAACGAGCTCTTCTTGTGTGTTGTCGCCACAGAATATCGCACGTTTCCGTCACCGTACATGACGCGTGCATATACACCAGTTATATATATACATTTGCGTTGCCGTTTGTGTGGGTATACAATATTATTATATTTGTATCCGCGTCGTCATCCGTGTGCGTCGCATACACTCAAAACTCATATTTATATACACTCTCTCCGCCATTCGTATGCGTAGGGCAGGTTTCGGGAACCTTTTCGTAGGAAAGAGCCATTCTTTCAAAAAAATACAAAACTATAATATCAAGAGAGCCGCACAGGTTTGAACAACCTTTTTTTTAGTGGGCAATAAAAACATAATAATGCGTCTTAAATTCAGAAAATATAGAAAAACTTTATTTCATTAATTCATTATTATTATTGTTTATACAAATAKAATATTATTTAATTCAATACAATAATACACAAAATAACGTATCTATTCAATATTAGTGGGATTTTTGACACTGAATTTCTCCAGACAGCTTATTCAATTCTGGAGGGTAATCTGTAGTTTTCAACTTCAAACAAGCATCAAGGCTGATATCATTCAGTTGATTTCTTAATTTATTCTTAATAAAGTTAATATTTGAAAATGTTTGCTCACAAATGTAAGTAGATCCAAAAATGATCAAAATTCYGTAAGCGACCATTTTTAATTGACTGAAACTTTCGGGAAGACTGTTCCATAAGTCAAATATAACTTACACTTCTTTTTGACATTTAGCGAGTTMCGTCCATTTATGGTTCGCAGCTAAAAATCCTTTTTTCCCTTTCCAGATTTTCAATATCTRTTTTCAAATTCTCAAATTTTGTAGACCAAAGATCTTTGGTTTTTAGTTCTATTAATTGCAATGAAAATAGTCTTTTGTCAACAGATGGAAACGATGGAAAATTAATTTGTCTAGTCTCCACTATGAGTGGTGATGTCAAAAACTTCAACGTAGATTTATATTTTCGAAAATCTTCAAAACGTCTACTAAACGAATTTTTCATGGATTGAATGGCCGATATAAAATACTCCAAATCAATAATACAACATGAGCTTTCCGTGTACTCTTTCAAAGATTCAAAATGATCAAGATTTCCGCTGTCAATATCTTCTGGAAAAAGCTGAAGTTGTTGTTCGAAAGAAAGAACAGGTTCCAGTAGTATATCGGTATGGTGCCTATTCGTGTGGTGTGCGTCTACCACCCCCAGTCTGACCATCTTCACGGGATTATTGTTACAGCGTTCCGGACCACAAGGCAGAGGTCGAACGGTGTCGATATCGTTGTATTATTAGTATTTATTTTGTATTATTTTATTTCTTGTAATTGTTATATGCAAGATTATTTATATTATTATTGTTGCATGGAATATATTAATTAAGTAATCTGGACWGATTTAAGTTAAATTAGTAAACAAGTTTTTATTACATCGAATAATAATAATTATAAATTATATAATAATACAAAGCACTTCATAAACATATAGCGGCAACGGATCGCGTATCACGACTACCCTACCAATAATATTCATAATCATCCTATAGCTACTACACAAACGAGACGCCCAAGACAGCAATGTGTCGTGTCAGYATTTTTGCTTACTATATTAATGTATAACTACTTATTGTATACAATTACAGGGTAATAACTAAATTATAATTTAATATTTCAACACTCCCTCTTAAATTCTAATTCAGTTATACAATTAAGAATTATTAGCCTGTATCCCTAGCTTTTCTCKGAGGTACTCAAATTGTTTCCTTGGAATTGGTTTTGTCATGATGTCTCCTAATTKTTCTCCACTCCTYACGTGCTTCAACATGAACTTTCCTTCTGTATAATGTTCCCTGATGTAAGGATACTTTGGTTMGATATGCTTTGATCTTTTATGAAATTTGGGGTTTTCCACAAGACGTATTGCACTCTGGTTATCTGCATATATAAWAGGTTTTACTTCCTGTGTTTCCAGAAGATCACTCATTAATAGCATTAACCAGGTAAGCTCCTGAACGGCTTGACTGAGTGAAATATACACTCTCACTCTGATTCTGTAGTTGAAAGTGACACGGATTTCARTCTCTGAGAGCTCCATGCAACTAATCCCTTGCCAACTCAGAACACTGATCCTGATGTAGATCTCCTCGTATTTACGTCACCTGCATAATCTASATAACTATAACTTATTACATTGATATTTATATCGCTACTATACAAAATTCCAAAATTTGGTTTGGACTTTAAATATTTAAAAATGCGTTTTACTGCATTCCAGTGCACTTTTTGAGGTTTTTCTAGATAATGGCTAACCAAATTAACGGTAAATGTTATATCAGGTCTCGTTATTTGACTCAAGTACAACAGRCTTCCAACTKCTTCACGGTATGGAACTCCCTCTGCTTGTATTGACTCTGTTTCTGACATAGTTGAGTCTAAGGTGTGTTGAGGATCAGTAAGTATGTGCACAACGTTTGCACTTTCCATATWGAACTTGGAAATGATGCGCTCACAGTACGATGTCTGGTGTATGAAAATAGACCSATAAATCTTCTGGTTTACTTCTTTGCCAGAAATTAATTMAAATTRYCTTTTTTTGTTTCGAACTTGTCCTTGGACATTGAATCAAKTCGTTGACCTGTTCTCTAGTTGTTGCTGCTACAAGTCCATCATCTRTGTATTGTGTTTTACCTATTGCTGAGTGAGCGGAGAGAATTATAGCATTGGTAAATGATGCGATATAACCATAAATATTAGAAAGAAATGATTGTTATTATTACTTGATTTCAAAATGAAAGTCCAGCAATGAAATTGTTGAACACAGTTTTCTATTATAACTAATTTATTATTTGTATATATAATTTTCTAGTCCATTTAGGTACGTATATTTTGTTTTAATTATTAATATTTTATTCTGTTTGAGATTTAAATATTGTATTTGTATTAATAATTTCATAAATTAGCTCCAATTTCAATTTAATTTACAGATAAATATATACTAAATACGTTAG